CAAGGACGGTGCTACAGGCCGCAAGGCAGTGCACTTACAACTACAATAAGCATGTTAATGTTAATCTAAGAGCTCCGGCGATCCACTAGCACCCCCCTCCCCCCCCCAATTTTGCATTTTGAGGTCTAAAGGTTGGCAAGTATGCTTTGGGCTGCTTTGTGCAAGAAAGGTGCTATACAAATAAAATGTATTATTATTATTATTATTATTAATATGTCTCGTCCATCCTAAAGTGAGATAGCATCTGTGGTCAATATTCAAGATACAAAAGATTCAAAGGTTGTATTGTCATATGCACAAAGCTACCGTGTAGAAATGACAATCAAATTCTTCTGACCTGAACTCCTCCAACAATTCAACATATATAATAAAATACAAAAATAATAGTGCAAAAAGACTATATATTAATATCCACCTTGCTGCATCGTCACGTACTGAGCTACAGACTTTGTTGAATTATTATTATTGTGTCGTTATCGAACAAGGACCACGTGTTACGCCCCTTAATGAGTAAAAATGGCGTTTCCTCAGCGATTACTTGGCAGCAGATTACACATCAATAAAAATACAGCAATTTATAAAAACATGAATATCGCCTTAAAGTAGACCATTGTCAATTAATAAAGAAAATGATAACTGATAGTGATTACACCGTATTTAAGACTTCTTCTGTGTAAGTCTATTCTTCTTCTATTCTAAAATGATGATGTCTTTAACGAACAAGGTTCACGTGTTATGCTCCTTTTATCCCAAGAGTAAAAATTGTGTATCCTTTTCACAAATTCACAAAAATAGGAAGAAAACATGAAAAACGTCTTGCAGTAGACCTTTGTTAATTAATACAAATGGATTTCCGATGCTGATTATATTAAAGCCTTCTTCTTCTGTGTAACTCTATGCTCAATATCCATTTTGCCTCTCTGGACATCACAAAGTCTGTTTCCACAACATGAAATCTGACTAATACAATCAAAGGGAACAACATGACATCTTATATTATTGCCTTTTTAATGCTTTTAATGTTCATTTTCCACCTCGGTGTCGGTTAAATCCCACCTCTTACTTCAGCTCTGGATATGAGGAGCTGGTTATTAAGCATGAAAATCAGGTAAAGGTATTTCGCAGCAGAACAATTCATCACCTGTCACTGAGGGGAAGAATGTAAAATAGATATTAACGGGGGCCTGGAGGATGGAGTAAGAAGTCTGGAATACTAAAACAGGAGCACCATGAAATTAAACAGGTTTCCTTTCAAATAAAAAATTGCTTCTGATCCCTTATCTACAACCAGGCCTGGGGATTAACAGATTACTGATCACAGGGTTAAGTAATCAGGATACAGGATAATCCGTTAACTATTATAACAGAATACATTTTTAAACCAACCATAATCATACAGCACGCTCTTCAAATACAGTGTTTGATTTTAATGTCAGTACCATGGACCATGGTCTAAAGTAGTGCCTTTTCATCTTGATAATGATTTGGGCTGTATAAATGATCATTGACCTCAATTTAATAAAACACACTTTTATCACAACGTAATGCCTCTCACGGGTAAGAAACCTGTTTGAGAGTCTGAAAGGCATACAGGATGTTCCACTGACAGCTCTATCTTACATGCAAATTTAAGAAACATGTCAGCCATCAAACTAAAATCCTTGGACATTTTTGCTCTCTAGCAGGTGTAGAATAAGGTGACCATATTTTCAAAATGAAAACCGGGGACATTTTGAGTTTTGCGGTCAAAATCTCATTAACATATCAATTTTCTTCGCTGTTAAAGAAAAAAGGGGGACAATTCTGGTTCAATGTAATTAGAACATTTGAACTGTTGGATACAAACAGAAGGACAATAGCTCATATGAGACTTCAAAGGTCTTTTATTTTGAAACTGTACATCAGATTGTCCAGATTCTCTCTGAGTGACTAGATGGGGTGTCCTGCTATCACCCTGTAGTGAAATAAGTATTTGATTGACTTCGAATGACTCTTTGATTATGGACGGTTCCCATGAAATAATAATCAAAATATACGATGGACAATAGATNTCTTTGATGAATGATAAAAATAAAATGTTACCATTAGTTCTTAATGAAATTCAATGTATTGTTAGTAGTAGGCTAACTAATACAAAGTCAAACAGTATCAATTTCATTAAGAACTAATGGTAACATTTTATTTTTATCATTCATCAAAGATAGCAGAAAACATGCATTATGTATACTATGGAGGGGACTCTGACAGAGGATTACTCACAAAGTACACAGTAAAAGTACTTCATTTGATTTCTGGTAGCAGTCAACTAGTACTGTAGTCCTTAGTTACAATGTTGTTCATTTTAGACAAAGGCTTATTATATTCACAGCCCTAATAACATTCATTTTCTGGGCTCAATATGTGTCTTGGCTGTTTTCGTTGTGATCACTAAATTCACCTTGTTTATAATATTATCACTATAACACTGACCCAGATCGCTTGATCGCTAGAAACACCTGCCATCAGACTGGCAAGGGCTGTTCCATGCTCTGCTCAACCTCCCGCCTTCCCAATGGACTCAGTAGCGACCCCTGTTGCCGTGGAGCATGTGTGAGTGTGTATGAGCCACCCACGGCGGAATATTACTGCCAAAAGTCACGTAAGTGAGTCACGTGACTTTTGGCAGTAATATTCTGACGTGAGAAGAAAAAGTTGTGTACTTAAAAGAAAAGTTGTGTACTTGTAAAAGCTAAGCTGAATTTGTCTCTGAAACATGATTTATTAGAAAAATGCTATGTGTTTGTTTGATAGATACGTTTTTTCTTTGCAAAACTAAATGCATTAGTTTGTAGATGGTGTTTTGTATTTGCAAAGCACAATGTGTTTGTTAATGAATCATGAGGCATTGGTAAAACCTGTTTAGTTTGTTTGTGGAGTTATGGCAGGA